AATGTAGGTATATATAGGTACAGCCACACCCGTGGTGATGCTAAAGGTCACTTTTGGGGGCGGAGGTGTGGGGAGGATAGTGTGGCACTTGGTGGGATGTAATTACAAAGTCGCTCTGCCATCAAACCACGGGTATCTCGTTTCCAGCACGGATGAACGATATTTTACTACACTGAGCACTGTGCTTGAATGAAATATATTGGACTTGGTGTGGCGTACATACCACAACTGATGACATCTAAAACATAAGTCCCATGTTCAAAATCGACAGATGTAATATATTCTACTCATCTTTTCCTGAGGACCACACCTTTGACCAAACATTACTATATCGGTCCTATGTTTGTAAACGCAGGTACGGCCTGATATTTTCCCACGTGAATGCATGGAATATGGGAGCGTCACTTATAGCCTAAAACTTTACGTTAAAACAGTCTCCTAAAGAGGACAGGACAGGGCGTGTTTAACTTTCGATAAATCTTTAATGGTTCTTCATATCTGTATACATCTAATAAGATTAAACTATGAATGTCACCAAGCAACATACTCTACATCATTGGGGAGAACAACGCCCTGCTTCAGTACACGTCACCTCCATCGGAAACACCGTTATGGCTTTGAAACGGTCTGGCGCGCAATAAAATTATTTTCTCTGAAAAGAAGCAATTGAGCATCACATCTTCAGTCCGAAAAGGAATAGATTTTTCAACCTTTAGAAAAAAACCGGCAAAAATCTGCATAAAGTCATTGTTAAGAGGCCGGTAACGGTGGGCTATAACTCGCATGGTCGACTATGACAATCCAAGCATTGGCCCAAAGAACAGCGGTAGTTGATGGATGAATGTATGTCACAGTCGCTAAGGCAAAAGAAGCATTCCTAGATTGTACAGATAACATTTTTATATGAAAACGAATCTGTGTTATTTGCTTCAGGGAAACTATTTATTCAGTTTGGAAAGTCATGTCAGCGAGATAATATCATAGTGAGTGACTATGTCTTCGGACCGTAATGTTGTCATAACGTCGATGGTACGGTCACTGCCATATATAGAGGTATTTTATTCCTGCAATACAACGACTCCAGTCAAGGATGCAGCGTTCACTCAGCCGATACTTTCTCTGATGAACCTATAGTGAAGTGAATACATGAACAAACAGGACATAAAGGAGAGAAAATAGAAACATCTGACTTGTAAAATCTGTTTTGGGAACGAACAAACCTTTAATGCAAGAGTGAATACGATCTGTTTGACTGACATTTTGTGAATACGCTGTTACATTCGTAACTACTCGCCTCTTTCCGTGACCTACAAGAAGACTCGTGCCCCTATCGTACTCCATTATTGCCAAGAGTCGTGGCAAACCAATCAAATAGCGCGTAGTAAAACGCATTTCGAAGCATGAAAATGGCTGAAGTTTGAAACTTCGCTTAACTATGCAAAGCACAATTTAAACATAAACTTTGAGCTAAAGGATCAGAAACTTTAAACACTGAAGCATATTTACAAAGGCAATGACTGTATTGCTGTTTTACCTAGGGGATATAGGATATTCTAGGAGCCATGTTTGGAAATTCAGATTTATCTTTCCTTGGTAATAGTACTAGACTATTTTCATCTCCATGCCCGTTTGCGCTGAGACAGGGCCCAGTCGTAAACATGGCCACGCGTGGGGTACGAGACGCCATCCGGCTTGCCGGAATGACACGAGTAGTTACGAATGTTCCCTGTTACGGATATTCTCTGACGTCACGTATCTCGCGTGTAAACCTACCCACTGGTCTGTAAACCTGCCTCCAACGTGAAACCCTATCCGGGTTCCTGGACGGGTCAGAATTCCAGCACCCCACCCTGTCAACCGATGAGGTTCGGGTTTCATATAGCCTTGCACGATGGATATTAGGTAATTCATGTTGTCTAGGTTCTATACACTATACTCGTATTAAAAAACAAGTTTCCGTATGAAAGACGTATGACCTGCTGTCGGCTTATCCAGCCAAGCGTTTACAGGGGTAGTATTATAATACAACCAAGGACGTATTTTTTCAGTAGCCTTGGGTGAAGGCGAGGTACATTGAGTAACCTGGCACCGTGTCATAGGTCATGGCACCCTCACGGCTAGCATCCCTGCTCATGCTATCATCCACTACACGACACTGACTAGACTCAATGAAGGGCATACTGACTTAAGCTTATAACACTCACTCACTCACTCACTCACTCACTCATGGATAAGTGGTTTCTGAAAACAGTCGGCAGCTAAGACTGAATGAACAGGGTCTGATGTTCGTTGTGACCACCGTCCGGCAAAAAAGGTCACAGATTAAGGGAAACAGACACATCAACTACAAACAAGAGAAGTACAAAGTTTAATCCACTGTCTTTGTTACTGAACACCGCCCCTCTCAAACATAATCCTTTACTGAATAAGTAACGCATACTAAGAACTGTTAGATTTAACAGTAATTTCGGTTGGGACAGGACCGCAGTGACATAGGGCAGTGTTATTTGTCAGATACAGGCGCGGAATCAGTCGTATCCTCATTACGTGTGTTGCATAGTGTTCTTTCTTTGTGCAACTACTGCATTCAGATTAATCCAGCCAACAAACCATTGCATAAACGTCGTGGATACGGACATACATCACGTTTCGAAAGTACGGTGACAATGGAATGTCAGAATCGTTAGATAAATAAATAGGACAAACCTTCCTCCAGTCAGCAAGACCTACGGGAGTTCGGAGGGTTCATGGAGAAGGGGTATTTTTTTAGATGCAGCTCAGTGATCACATCATTTTACTTTAGAATATAGGCCTAAGAGGGGGTTCTGAACGGCATCTTTTAAAGATGTATTTTGTGTGGCAAACAAAATAAAATCATCGGTTAGAAGTTTACATCTCTCCCCAGTGATGGTCTTGTGCGCTGACGGTTACATTCCCCCCACAGTGATGGTCTTGTGTGCTGACGGTTACATTCCCCCCCACAGTGATGGTCTTGTGTGCTGACGGTTACATTCCCCCCAACAGTGATGGTCTTGTGTGATGACGGTTACATTCCCCTCACAGTGATGGTCTTGTGTGCTGACGGTTACATTACCCCCACAGTGATGGTCTTGTGTGCTGACGGTTACATTCCCCCAACAGTGATGGTCTTGTGTGCTGACGGTTACATTACCCCCACAGTGATGGTCTTGTGTGCTGACGGTTACATTCCCCCAACAGTGATGGTCTTGTGTGCTGACGGTTACATTCCCCCCACAGTGATGGTCTTGTGTGCTGACGGTTACATTACCCCCACAGTGATGGTCTTGTGTGCTGACGGTTACATTCCCCCAACAGTGATGGTCTTGTGTGCTGACGGTTACATTACCCCCACAGTGATGGTCTTGTGTGCTGACGGTTACATTCCCCAACAGTGATGGTCTTGTGTGCTGACGGTTACATTTCCCCACAGTGATGGTCTTGTGTGCTGACGGTTACATTCCCCAACAGTGATGGTCTTGTGTGCTGACGGTTACATTCCCCAACAGTGATGGTCTTGTGTGCTGACGGTTACATTCCCCACAGTGATGGTCTTGTGTGCTGACGGTTACATTCCCCAACAGTGATGGTCTTGTGTGCTGACGGTTACATTCCCCACAGTGATGGTCTTGTGTGCTGACGGTTACATTCCCCCAACAGTGATGGTCTTGTGTGCTGACGGTTACATTCCCCCAACAGTGATGGTCTTGTGTGATGACGGTTACATTCCCCCAACAGTGATGGTCTTGTGTGCTGACGGTTACATTCCCCCAACAGTGATGGTCTTGTGTGCTGACGGTTACATTACCCCAACAGTGATGGTCTTGTGTGCTGACGGTTACATTCCCCCAACAGTGATGGTCTTACATTCCCCCACAGTGATGGTCTTGTGTGCTGACGGTTACATTCCCCCAACAGTGATGGTCTTGTGTGCTGACGGTTACATTACCCCCACAGTGATGGTCTTGTGTGCTGACGGTTACATTCCCCCCACAGTGATGGTCTTGTGTGCTGACGGTATTCAACTAAATGCAAAATGACGCTGTGCATCGAGCAACCAACAATGGTTGAAAGTGAATCTGTATATTTGTAGGGCGGAGTTTTGCAACCATTTTTATTTACCTGGCATACCGTTTGTTCACATGCAAATGCACAAAAGTTTACCCTTTTAAGTCCTAGAACAAGGGCACATGTGTACCTTGAGACAAACTTGTGTTAGACCTACACAGTCTTAACGCTACAGTATGTGGTCTCACTATCGTGTCACTGGTTTTGTTATGATAGATGAGTGTCATGCTCCAGCGCGACCCCACGTTAAAGGTGAAGCACACGCCTTTTTACAACAGCGGGGGTTCAGAACTAAGTCACGGATACCTTAACTGTCTCTAGTTATGCAACGAAATAAATCATGATAAATCATGAAGTTCATCGGCAAATGTTGGAAGCACCAGATACGCCACCCACCCACCCCCAACCCCGAAACAGTTTCTCAGTATTATATATTGTTGATATTGCTGGATTATTGCTATAAGCGGCGTAAAACAGTACTCTCTCATCTGTATCGGTACCCAAAATGTAATCTTCTGAAAATAGCTTTGAATTCAGAGTCGGCTTTGAGTATGGTAGCTGTCCTTGTCGGCCATATATATGCCTTTGTGTAGTGAATGTTCAGGTACGTGCCAGGTGAGGGTCCGTCTCTATAGTTTCCACAGTCACGTCACACACAAAGCTACACACCCAACGCTGTATGTACACTCACGCTGCATAATAAACACGCCATGTTATGCTTACCCACACACAATTCTATATTGGCCTGTACTACCTATGGATGTTTTGATCAATTCAATCCGTTTTCTTTGAGCCCCGTGTAGCCCCAGTTTTACTAATATAGTTGGCGACGACCCACTTTAGAGCTCGCGCATCACTGTTGTAGTCCCAGTTACAATAACATATTTGGTGACGACCCACATTAGAGCACCCACAACAGTACTGTACATCTAGTCATACCGGTATACTGGGAGACGCCCACTGTGAGCTGTCGCATTAATGTAGTCTCTCACGAATAGATTAAGAAATGAACCCAACTCAAGCCTGAGATGTTTTGGCAAGTCCAGATTGCCTAAACTCAGCCTCGGGGTTTATATTTTATTTTTTGAAGATAGTTTTTTATTATTTTTATTTTAAGATGGCATTATTCCTGGCACTAGATGTAAGTCTCGCATCAGTGTTATATAGTCATACATGTTATTCTTATACACTTGGAGACGGCCTGTCAGAAGAACCCGTGAACATCCGGGCTAGAATTGGTCTTCAGCAACCCAAGCCTGTCGTAAGAGACGACGGAATCGGGTGGTCAGGTCAAGCTCGCGGACTTCGTTGACACATGGCATCGTATCCCAATTGCGTCGAACGATGTTCATGATGTTAATCACTGGATTGTCGAGTCCAGACTCGATTATTTATAGACAGCCGCCACATAGCTGGAATATTGCACAAATGTAATTTAAATGTCAGTAATGCTTGCCTGAACTATCGATTCCTTGTAATTGGCTATTGTTTGATAGCACTAAGCAATCGATGACAAGTTACAAGGCAGTAGTTACAATCGATACATCCTAATACTATAGATGTATAAACGGATGCAACAAGTGGACTACTGAGTTGGATCATTTTCTGACATCCATCGTAATGCAGCTGTATTGATGTATGTGTGACAGTCCATTCAGATCACGTATCGTAACGTTTTATTAGAAATAATAACTCCCTAACAACCGGACCAATCCACTCAACATAGAACACACTGGGCGTGCTAAAATCTGCCATGTTGAATAGTGCGAGGAATTCTAACTTGTGTGGTGAGGTTATATATGAATATGTATGTACATGTATATTGTATTGTACATTATCCTGCCTCAATTATATCTCTCCGATGCCATCTTGGTGTATATGTGTATATAACGTTTTTCCACTTCACTCATGTACCACCGTTGGTGGAAGTTGAGAAAATCAAAACCTTCGAACCTTCGTTAAGGTATCAACAATATAATTTTGCAATGGCGCTACAAATATTGCTAGAATATCGAAAAGGTTTAGTGGATCATATTCTTGCTGAATTGGACCTTATCAATCCGGTCTCACTAGATTCCCGTTTCCGGGCAAACAATTGATTTAATAAGAAATAAGCAAATATTCAGACCTTGTCAAATCCCAAATAAATCAAGAATATGAAGACGTGTCGCCACTGAAATAAGATTGACTTGTTGCGACAAGTGTCAACAGAAATGTTCCAGAACAATTAACAATTGTCCTATTGGTGGCTCCCATTGTTGACAAGGTGAATTCGTCATTGATCGCATTGTGTCCGTCTGTTTGTCCATCTGTTGACCATTTGTGTTGCACACCTGCCCTGCGTTCTTTAAATCCCCTTCACTTGTTGTCGTCCAGCAGACAGGTGTTGCAACACATATCTGACGTGTCTGGTCGTTGCCACTTCCGGCCAAACAGCGCGGTCATCCTGTCAAATGTTGTTATGACTGCATCAGCGTAAGAAGAAATACTAAAGCGATATAACTGTTTTTGTAAATAGTGACTATAAATATTTTGTAAATCCGATCTTATGGACTGGAAAAGGTCTACCAAGGGCTATGTGTGTTCATCTTCCCTAATTTGTGCTGTTCACGTTTTGTTGAAATAGGGATTTATTCTTTGCACGCAGAGAATCCCTCGAATTACCACATCTGTGATGTAGGTAAATATTGAATCATTGTATCTTCAATACTGTAGGGGGCGTCAGAATAGACAAGTGCTTAAATTGATTGCTCGTCACGCCTAGGATTTAACTCCTGCTCTTGCATTACATTTACTTTGTCCCCGCCGTGACAAGGCTGCGAAGTATGTAACTAAAACGACGTAGGAACCAATTCACTCAGTACAGCTAAAAGCAACATTTTCAGGGAATGACGAATTTGTGAGTGAAACATTTTACTCATTAATCTTTTGAGCAATGTTAAATTATTCATTGGTTTCCGATAGGATCTGTAAAGGCAAAAAGTGCAGTATGACAAACTCAACATAACTCACCTCCGTACTGACTGTTCTTATTAGTTATTGAAGACCACAACTGTGCACCATCTGTTGACAATAACCTGCCTTTGTACCCAGCAATATGTGGTCGGTGATTTACACTGGCTCTAGCTGTACTCATAGTGTCCTGAATCAAGGATCAAAAACATCGGGTCTGGTCAGCCCCAATAGGTTAAAGATCTAACTTTGGTTTTTAGGAAACCGAAACACTGAAAACATATATTTTTGTACGAAATGATTTTCTCTGGATAGCTGGCGGTGACTCAAGGCAATATATCTCTTAACAATAAATTGTTTCATGGGCCTTGACAAACGGTTTTCTTTATTGTTTTTGATTATCAATCTGGTTTAAACATATTTATTCATTTAATCATGATGGGATTGGCAAACACGCATAAGATTATCAATCTCTGTGTAGGGTCCTCAGTGATATTTAACGCCGCTTTTAACTGCATTTCAGTTATATACAGGTGTGTCAGCGTAATGCAAGGGGAAATCCCTAAGTGATGTCAGTCTCTTATGACATCCACGAACACGGGTATGTTGCTGACAAACAGGGCGAACCGGGAGTCGAACTCGCATATTTCTGGCTTGCCCAAGGGACACAACTCTGTACAGCAAACCACATAATGGTCGAGCCCTTTATTGTTCTAAAGAGCCGCATCACCCCATGGTCATATTAATATTGGTTATGTGCGAGTAGGGCATCTCCACAGCTTGACGTCTCAACGCGGCGTGAAAATAGTTGCATTTTCAAACCGACACTAATAGCTTCGTCATTGGAATGTTCCCGGTTAAAACCAACAAGAGCATGTTTGTTTGAAATACAGTCGCTGTAACAATAATTCGGATTTTTTGCGGAATGTTGAAACTGAAATCCCTTGTACGCATATTACTTAGAAAGGAGATCTGAAATAATATGGTAACGGTGAAAGGAGGTAATATCTCTTACTCAGTACTGATCTGCAAAATTGCTTTAGCCGTCACGTTGCCGGGCACCGTCCCGTGCTGCTGTGTGCCGGGCTCTTTCGCCTCGGGTCTAAAGGGGACTTTTACATCGCCTAGTCCCCACTGCACAATCGGACTTTATATCTACACATACACATAGCCCGGCTATGACGTCAATAACAGTAAACGTGTGTATGCCGGCAGTGCCGACTCACAATGTTTTCCTTAATAACCTTTTATTTCATCTTTACGTATTTGAGAGTATGAGTGAGTTAGGTTTTACACAATTTCAGGGATATTCCAGCAATAATAACAATGGCTATTTATAAAGCGCCTGTTTCCTCGCACTTGTGCATGCTCAAAGCGCTAACCCATTATTACCCCGGATAACCCAAGTTGCCTGTGAGAAGGTTAACAGTCATATGACTTATCCCACCGGGTACCCATTCATTGCTGGGTGAACTGGATTTATGAACAAACTCACTTGCCTAAGGTGAGACCACATGTGATTATATCAGCGAGAACACTGATACGCGTCAAACATTTTACTCGTGTGAAGACAAAACTGACAAAATTCGTGGAAGAGAATTGTTTTATCTACTAGACTACCCAACGTCCGTTTAATGTGTGGGAATCGTAGTACTCTGCGTCACATTAAAGGTTAGGTTAGACTGACACTTGGCCCAATAAATAACGTTTTCTATTTTGAAAAGTTTATCTGTCGAAAAATAATATAACCCAAAATAGACCCGGAACAATTCTTAACTTCAGGCAAGACATGTACCCAATCCGTCTAGACTTTGGGTACTTGGAGGGCTTTGTGATATATATTCACTTGGTTCAGGTAGATTATACGGACATCATCAAATTTTTCAAGTGTAGGTTTGCATTTTATGAATAGGTTCATGTGTGACGCCCAAGACTCAATGTGTCTTTGTGTAATAGGGGTAATCCATACATTTGAGTTATTCCCACACTGTGACATACTTGGAATATTGGTAAAGGCGGCGTAAAACCACACTCACTCATACGAAAAATGTAGTATAAGTGACAGCTTTGGACGACATGTTTGATGTTTTAAGACAAAGAGAGAATAAAATAATCTTTCTGTAATCCCGTCGAAATGTCCAAACACTGAGGAAAATATTTAAGCAATGATATATTTATGGGCAAACTCCTATAGGAGAGATCCTGAACGTTTGAACAAAGGCTAGATGAATAGTAATTCATAGCCATGACAGACTCTTGGCGTTCCAGAGATATCACTTAAATAATACACAAATCTGACCTTTTAAAAGTATGTACGTGTCCGTCTTTGTGTGTGTGAGCTGCACCAAGTCGATAACAAGAGTCAGCCGGAACTGGACACCAGAACCTGTACTGCATGGTGATCCAGGTATCGCTGGATCTAGGATTACAGTAACACATGTCATTTGATACATAAGATAGCATATGTCTGTAGAAGGAACGATAGATCGTACTCTGACGCGTATTCGGGGTATCAGTCATAATTTGGCTGTGTGAAACTATCAGTATTCAAACAGATGCATGTATATTTTTAATCGAGAGTTTGATTTTTGACGTTGGGTATCATGTTTGTACTTCACACAGCATGGTATAACTATTCCACTTAATGTAACACAACCAGTCACCGTGCACCATGCAGCGAAGATGTATTTCTGTATTGCAAAGCTGTGACAATGTCCATACACATCACAGTAGAGGAATTACACCTCCAGGAATCCGTAGCCTTGCTCCAAGTCTGTTTTGAATGCTAAGTCCATGCATGTATAATAATTCTATCCCTAAAAGAGGCATGTCTAGACAAGCAGACAGTCTAAGGACGCCAGTTTGAGGGACATTGAGCTCTTTTTATTTATTTGTTTTAGAAATCACCAATTAAACATTAACAAAACCTTGGAGACCTATGCAAGTAACCCGTTGATAGCTAAATTACTCAAATAATATGGATAAAGAAAAGAAATGATGAGGATAAGAAAGTTTAAATATATTTTCAATCAAGACAAAACATATATGTCGTCGTTTTATCATCATTGTGATTATGAAAATTGTTAGATGTTTACCCATGCCACCGCACCCAATTGCTCGACGTCAAGCACTGGATTGTGTGGTCCTGACTCGATTATATTCTCACTGCCATCATATACCTGTGAAATTGTCCTGTGCGGTGTTAAACAGCACCCTAATGCAGTTTGCGCATAGTGGAATGCAATGTTCCCATCTGATGGTGCGTTGTATATGTAACATTATACAGTTTGACAGTTGTTGTGGTGTTATTGCAGACGGAATCTATGACAGTGACGTGGAGTTCCTGGTTCTGCGGGTGCTGCAGTCGGTCGGCCTGGCCGGCATCCTGGCTCTCACCGTTTTCCTCATTGTCTACAAGGTCGGCTACAGCGGCAGGTGGAGCAACATGAACACCGTCAACCTCTCCGCCTTCGTCTTGTGTATCTTTACAAGTGAGTACACGTTTACCGGTTGTAGAATCATGTTCGCGCCCTTGAAAATGATCTTCAGAATTGATCTTCAGCAACCCATGCTTACTTTAAGAGGCAACTGACATGATCGGGTGGTCAGGCATGATATTGCCAGTAATGGTATCCCATGTGCGTATGGCGATACGTATTTGCAGACGGACACCATTAGGTGGTATGTCATTGAGTGTTGTATTAAACAAACAAACACAAAATCAATCAATCAAAAGAAAACACAAGTTTGCTTTGGGCATATTTGGTCAGAAGGCCGTAACCGTTGGTGAACGATAGCGACTACAGCGCTGATCGGAAAGTTTGTTGTTTAACGCCGCACTAGGCAATACTCCAGCTATATGGCGGCAGTCTGTAAATATTCGAGTGCTCAACATCATGAGCATCGATCTACACCATTGGGATGCGTTGACGTGTCAACCAAGTCAGCGAGCCTGGCCACCAGATCCCGTTAGTTGTCTTTTAGGACAAGCATGGGTTGCTGAAGACCAATTCTAACTCGGATCTGATGAGAGGAGGAGGACAATCATTACACATATAAGGTGTGCTGATGATGGACAACGATCTTCACATACGCTTTTATTGACTGGCTGCATTTAGAATGTTTGATGTTCAACTGTCATTTTAATAGTACATTCTTTCTGTTACAGTTTTGGATCTCTTAGCCAGCGCAATACTGTTCGGCGTCAAATACTACAATTTCTTCCTGTTCGTTGAAAGCTTCGACTCAACTAGTATTCCTTGGTCTTGGTTGATGAGTTTGATCGCCTGCCTCATTCTCATCGTCATCTGTCTTTTCATCAGATTGAAGTGTAGACCGGAGCACGTCGACGGGGCATCTCTTCCTGTGTCACGTGATGTGTCTAAGATGAACCTTCACCCCCACGTGCAGAATGGCCACGGTGGCAACCGCTATTACAACCAAACCCCATATATGGACGACAGGTCGAGGTATAATGACGACCATCGGTCCGTGCAGTCTGGGGGTATGATCAGAGGCTATGATGACTTCGAAGAGCGGAGAAACAACAGTCACTATTACTCTGAAACACGGAACCCCTACGAAGGTAGACAAAACGGCCATTACGAGAACAGGGGATACCAGGCGGAACCAGAGCCAGCAGTCGCCTACCATAAGCCCACCTCCAGTCAATTCAAGGACAACCGAGACAGAGAAATGGGACACACGATCTACACCGGAAATGGATTTTCGTACTTGAAAGGGGAGATAAGCAGGGGTGATCGTGATGATTCCCGATACGGCCGTCCGATGGCGCTCGCTGACTACAGCCAACGCGGCTACGACGACTACTACGAGTCTTCAAGACGCGTCCGGCCACCGACTGGCGGAAGCCGAGTCCTTCCGTCCAGTGTCAGCCCCAGCCCATACGTATACAGACCTCACCAGTACTAGTAACACACTGCTAGCAATGAACGAATGGCAGTGCATTTTGTCTTGAACACAAAACATCCATTTAAAATATTAGGCACAAAAACAGAGTGGTTGAAAGACACATCATGGTAAGGAGGAAGTTGACACAAACTCTCCCGAGGATGACAGTTAAAGCGGGTAGATATACACTATAACAGTTAAACCTCATTAAGACAAAACCGCGAAGATTCCGGACTCATCTCGGACCAATATTGTTGGTAACGTCTATGTTTGTGATGAAGCAGTCGGATGAGTTGCGCTCGCCGAGACTCCAACAAACTGAAGCAGTCAGGTGAGTTACGCTCACCGAGACTCCAACAAACTGAACTCTTCACGAAGATATGTGAGCTGTAGGACAAAGGACTGTCACGGAAGGGTTTTTACGAAGCTCTTCTGTTCTGTTCATGGTCAAATTTTTGCACAGAGTAATTACAGGATTCAGACATATTGTATGTGATAGCGCTTCCGAGCTGAAATCCTGCATGGCACATGTTTATGTTGTGTATACACAGACCCGGGTAGTTTTTGCGTAGGGTGTTCCTGGTGAGTACTTAGTTAATTTGCATACTGGCCTTCAGATCGATGGGTGTTGTAGCGTATCCTTGCATCGACCCAAACTCTGTAATCTTTGTTTGTAGCGGATGGGACATATAATCAGGAAGCGAATATACATTACTCGTCAGTATCAGAAACATGTAACCTTCAGTCGAGCAGATTGTTTTCAAAACTCAATTATTACACTTTTGTAATGAGTAGGCGTAACCGTCAGCCATGAATAGAAGTCCATGTACATCGTCTCTCTCGGTTGTTCACTTCAGTATCTAGTCTAGACAGAAAAAGACCAACGAGAGGCGCGATAAACCAAACGCGGTTAATGGATTTGGGTATGTTACTCCATCAAATTTCTAATAAATTTGCATCTCCCCATCCAGTGTTTCCTAAATACTGATAACAAATATAGCGATCCTGAATATTTCGAGGGACATCGTTATGTGATCAGTCTTTGCTACAAAAGCATCCCCTTAAATACTTTTGACCCCAACTGTTTTTGTTCAGTGAAGATAGATGCGTCGTAGTCCATATGTAACAAACAGATTTATAGATGTACCTTCGTTCTACTGTAAAATAGACTGACAGAACACGTGTCCCCACTGAATGCCCTTCAACCCGAGGTTCCACCTGGCGTACCTTCAATGCTGAGGGGGCGGTGGAGTAGCCTAGTGGTAAAAGCGTTCGCTTGTCACGCCGAAACCCGGGTTCGATTCCCCACATGGGTACAAACTGTGAAGCCCATTTCTTGTGTTCTTCCACACACACACACACCCACCGTGATATTGCTGGAATATTGCTTAAAGCGGCGTAAAAACATATTCACTCACTCACTCCAATGCCTGAAGGCTGGCACGCCACCACAAGCATACTTGCAAAATGCAGTTTTTGAAGAACGAACACTACAATATATTCACATTCTACATACTGTATTTAACGTATGAGGTGGACATTATATGTTGATGCTATATACTATATGAGGCCTAGATTGAAACCCCCACATGTTCCATGTATATATAGCGTAGAGATCAGAGTATCCATATTGTACAATATGTTCCTGTTGTTTGTCATTTGTACTTTTGTCAAATAGATATCGTCTTTTATATATACTTAAATATTGAATCTACGTTTCATCTTTTTTAATAAAGTCATATTTTATATAGATATATGTTTTGTTGTACACTAACTGTTCGATTAACGAATGTCGGGGCGGGAGCAATAGTGGCACAAAGCTGACCGGCACTGTAGGGGTCCATGGAATGTCTCCAACATGTCTCACTTGGCGTCCATACAAAGGGGTTTCAGGGGTCAGACTCAGTGCCCTAATCTAACTATCTACCACATTCCTAAACCGACACTGAGACCGCCCCTGTTGTCAAGTGGACTGTACGTGTACCCTGAGGGCAGAAGCTTGTACCGATGTGAGTGAGTGAGGGAGTTTAGGTTTACGCCGCACTCAGCAATATTTCAGCTATATGGCGGCGGTCTGTAAATAATCGAGTCTGGACCAGACAATCCAGTGATCAACAGCATGAGCATCGATCTACGCAATTGGGAACCGATGACATGTGTCAACCAAGCCAGCCTGCCTGACCACCCGATCCTGTTAGTCTCCTCTTTCGACAATCATGGGTTACTGAAGGTTCATTCTTGCCCGGACCTTCACGGGTTTGTACCAGTGTGAAAATGTGCCGGTTTACAGTGCATAATTAGCATGAATACGTCACTCTGACAGTTGATGCCGACCAGCCCTTGTTCTATCACTTTAATGCCGATTGACAGGGTAACGACAATTACCGCCTTCTAACGTTTTATGGTATGACACGGCCAAGGGTTCGAACCACCGACCTCCTACTCTGAGGACTGACTCACTATCCACTATACCACAGGGGTGGCCGCGAAGATGAGCCTTGTCGCAGTGTGATAGAGATTTGACATCTTCTCCACGCTTTCAATATATCTTTTGACAGTCACTAGGAACACGGATCAGTAATATTTCAAAAAGTCCATATACCGTGTCTATAACCTACAGTAGTGAGTGAGTTTATTTTTAGGCCGCACTCAGCAATATCCCAGCTTTATATCGGCGGCTGTCTGTAAATAATCGAGTCTGTATCAGACAATCCAGTGATCAACAGCATGAGAAAACCTAACGTGAACGGTGAACAGGTATAGCTGCCAGATGTTCGCAAGCCACATATTAAATCCATCTTGTACGTTTTTCATAAACCACTCATCTTACGTCAACTGCTGTCATCTTTTTAATTTTATTAGTAGCTCCTTGTACTTCTTGCCGTGCTGTAGTAGTGTAGTACCATCACGAAACTTACATGTAGTCTTTGTGTGTGGCCAGTATATTTTGCAAAGGCTCAGAAAGCCTGTCTATACAGTCGAAAACGTCTTCAAGAACGAGAATAATCTTTCCTCCATCTGTACACAATAACCAGCTTCGTATCTTGTTGAAGGTAATAGAAATACTCAGACTGAACATAATTCTGTTATGAGAAAGTCGTCAATTTTTTTTGTACACATTATTCTGGAGACTGCCGAAGAATCTAGACGTGCCAAAATAGCGTAGACCTGTTCCGAGTTTCGGATAATTTAGTTAAGGCATACTAACCCAGATATGTCCCGAGATGCAATAGAGATAAAATATACACCTACAGAGAGAACGAGACAAACATACTGGAAATGTATGCACCTAGCGGAGACTTGTCAAGTGTTGTGCCCTCAATGGGTCAATTAAACAGTAAGTTTATCATTTGCAAAAGTTAGTGTTCTTTACGACCTTTTTAGACACAAATCTAACTTTGATTGAGGAGGGGGTGGTTCCGTCGTTACATCCCTCTCCTTTTATATAGTACTAGGGTTGGGTGTATATACCTTTAAACCATGACTGTTTTGTTTCAGTTCGTAGTCTAACCAACCCAGATATCAGTTAGACTACGACCGGGACTACTTTTTAAATGTTAGCTTTCATGTTGGAATCTGACCAGCTTTACTTCAACATCAGCGTTTGCCAATTACAATCATCCAACCAAAACTAGGCGCAGATTGTTGAAAAGGTCTTATGGAAAAATAGAAAAAAATAACAGCAATGCATACTGCAGAATGTATTTATTCACAGAACATACACAAAGTTTCATTTTGCGACCGTAACGTTGACAGAGATGTTGATACCATCGGTACTGGTGTTTTGTAAAGCTCTAGATTCCTCGCATGAACTGGATGCCGTTTCACTTCGTCGCTTTCTTGGTTTCCCTTGCACTATCCTGCTCATAGTCGCCTCTTGTTCAGTAAAGACACGCTTGTAGATGCGAATGGCGTTACTCCTGTGACCGGTTGTTTTAGCAACTGCTCATCTATACCTGAGCGAAACAGCCGCGTCACACACGTTGCTCTCAACGAATGATTTGTGTAGAAACCTCCCCAAAACAACCAGGACTGACGTGTGTAATGCTCTGCTAGGATGGTTACCCATAGAAGCCCACATCAACAAAAGCAAACTCTTGTTCTTCGGAAGGCTGTGCCACACCTCTTCCAGGAATACAAGCTACCAGCTACTTATGACACGAATCTTTGCCTTGAGAAACAACTGTGTGGTTGACCCAGGAGGATTCATATCACACATACTTCGTATCCTAACGAAGTATAACTTGTGTGACTATCTGAAGGAAGTCTACTACTCTGGACGTCTCTGCCAATACACGATGGAAGCAGATTGTCAAGAGGTGAGGTGAGGGGGAAATTGGGTTTAACGTCCTGCTTGAGAATATTTTGCTCATATGACGACGTGCATACGTGTGTATGTGTATGTGCGGCTGCTTGTACTAGCCCAGACTGAAGCTGGTTTTATAGTGCTAGCCCACTGAGATACCATGCCGCAGTGAAGCATGAATACCCCACTCAGACACATTATACTGACTCCGAGCCGACCAGTCCTTGTTGTACCCATTAATGCCGAGCGCCAGGCAGTGACCAACAAGTACCATATTTTAACGTCTTTTGGTATGACGCGGCCGGGGATCGAACCCGTAACCTTCCGCTCTCTCGGCGAACGCTCTAACCACTACACCACGGAGGCGGTAGATTGTCAAGAAGGCAATCTTTAATGCTGAAACTGTAGCATGGCACCGACATTTCTTGAAAATCCATCCTGTGCTGGCCCCACATAGAGCCTGGTTCATTGCCCGACAATTCCCACAATTAAACAGCAATGCAACTTTGTGGTCAACCTATGTGCATCATGGCGCCCAGGAGGTGCACAAGGCATATGTGAGCTGTGTCAGTCACGCTTCAAAGACAAACTCACCCATACCATCTGTCATTGTACAGATAAGATGAGTGCACAAGATAAACTGTGGCTTGAAATCTCAAGCATTGGTCCAATAGAGCTGGGAGTGAACCTGCTCAACCAACCTGACGAGGATGTGGTATGCTGTCTTCTATCATGCACTCCATGTGTCCACTTGGATGACACAGACAACGCCATCTACTCTTCTCTGGTCGTTCAAGGATTATATAGACTGTGTAAATACACCAGATTTACCTTATCGTAAAGTGACTTAAAACCAAACTCATCTAATCCAGTGCTGCTCCAATGACTCTAATGTATTTTTCTTTTTAAATACCTCTCCTACTTAATGTACGTTTTCTGCCTGTCCGTGTTATTGTACTCTCCTATGGAGGAATACAGAATATTATTTTTATGGATGCCGTTTCACTTCGTCGCTTTCTTGGTTTCCCTTGCACTATCCTGCTCATAGTCGCCTCTTGTTCAGTACAGACACGCTTGTAGTTGCGAATGGCGTTACTCCTGTGACCGGTTGTTTTAGCAATCAACTGCTCATCTACACCTGAGCGAAACAGCCGCGTCGCACACGTTGCTCTCAACGAATGATTCGTGTAGAAACCTGAAAAGACAAATGTTAACCCAATCAAAACAAGTCAAGAGATGAATTGATGCTATATTTATGTAAAACACGCTTTGTCATTTACATCTAACTAAATTACTGGTAACGAAACAACACCTGGTTCAAGGAAGAAATGTATAAATGTTTTCATTGTGTTTTTTGACACTGTAAAGTTGGTAACATATTTTGAGTAATGCAGTTTTTTAGATAAATGAATTTGAAAATCTTACCTCTGAATCCGGCAGCAGTGCACAATCTGGACACAGTTTTACTAAGTGTGTGTTCTCCTACTGGCGACACTGAATACCATCGATCAGGCCTGTGTTTACTGAGTGGACGTAAATATAAAGCTGTAGGAGCATCAGCTGGACGAAGACCGAGGTACTTCCGGTACAGGTGGACGATGCGTTTATCAGATACATCGGTAGCATACGCAGAAACACTTTTGGGTGCAACATGGTAGTCCTTACATTTACTGACCTTTCCATGGTAGCGTTTGAACTCACCCTGGTCATTTTCTCCAATTTTTATTTGATCAACTGTCAAAATTCTGTGCATGTCATCATCGCTCGAAGACAAAACAAGAAATTAACTTTTCTGTTTTTTAAACAACTCACTCTCAATCTGTTGAGAAGCTACCTAAATCTTCACTTGACGGTATGTCACAATGTTTATCTGCAGTCTGCATATTTCCAGCAGCGTTGTCGTCGTTGTCGCTAATATCACTGCACAGAGTAGCATAATTTGTCGGAGAAACTGCATTACTATGAACATTTGAGCTCAAATATATATGTGAGCACGGAATAAAATCTTCTTCAGACATTCTGGACCCATTTGTTGCTGCCGGACACTGGCAATGGCGGTGAATGTGAAAGCATGTTTCTTGATGAACGTTTGCGCATGCGGGAAAATCATTCATTAATAACTCTCGTGCAGGGCAAACTAAAATTCATTCGCCTCTAACCAAGAATAACATATCAATTACTACAATTACTCTGCGCATTCCGGGGCCCATTACATTGTCAAACAGCCCTTATCGTGTTCAGATATATCAGATGGCACGTGCTGTAAGTAACATGTGAGGGCACGTGCAATACGAAATTTTCAAGGACCTTAAGTGTGAAAATAAACCTTTTACTACGCGAGAGCGCAACTTAATATAGTGCATTGAATTTATCATTGTTTTGATAACGTTTAATGTACATGTAGCCATTTAATTATGTGTCATGGTTTAAGTCGGTTAGGCCACTCGCACCTTGGCGTCTAATCGTTGAAGTGGTTAGTAAGATCACTCGTGATCTAACTAACCACTTCAACGATTAGACGCCAGGTCCTCGTGATCTAACCTATACTTATGTCTTTCTAACGCTGCTTCTAAGCGTGACACGCCCCTGAGCTTTTAGACAGCTATGCTACCAGGTGATATGTGTTGGGTTTACCGGCTGTTACATACGAGGCAAGACGGGCAGTTATTTTTTTAACAATGTCCGTGATGCGAATATCAAACCTCGCGTATGTGTCCGTGGCAACAGCACGGCTGGGAATGGATCAACTCAAACGTCCGCTACTGCGGTAACAGTTACATTTTTGAGACGCTTCATTCACTCTAAGTGCTGAACGTGAGTCTGCTGACGAATGCTATGACAGCCTCACGTTGGCCTTTATACACCGGAGGAGGTGGAATATATTGCTGGAACCATATGGGCAGACGGACTAATAGAGGATGAATGTGGTCGGATGTGAATGATTTAGTGTTGCTGCCATTGCCTACAGCTGGTTAACCTGGTGAAGGCTTGATCGGTATTGACAGGCCGACGCGAGTACAAAGTATATACTTGTAAATAGCAAAGACCACCTTCTATTTACACCTCATACAATATTATAACATTATGTCTATGAACTTTCTTTTGTGTATCGTCGAGTCACTGGTAGGTAGACATGTCCCTTTAATCATGTGAAGACGTATCTAACATCAGCCCAAACATAACAAATTCCGTACTAAAGGGAGGTAAGTCGGGTATATCGTGGCAGACAGATGAGGCAACACGTGTTTGGACCATTTACTTCAATATATGTATGGATGTTTCAATCGTAATACCTACATGAAACCTATGCGAAGTAATGTATGTCAAAGATGACTTAATAACCTAATACCCTTTAAGGATTTTACATTAGGCATTTAAAACTGTTATCGGCGTAAATGACTTTTTACTTTTACGTTTATTATGAAGAGATATATTTGTTATGCAGTTGACAGCCGAATAAATTTTGAGTTTTCGAAAAATACAGCTGATTATCGTGTATGAGTGAGTTGGGTTTCACGCCGCTTTGAAAAGGGCGTGTCAGCTAGAGGTTAGTTTAAAGCCCGTGGTGAGTCTTAGACCATTACCACCTCAGTGAAACCCACGGACACGGCGCTGACAAACCTGGAAATATCATCAGTGCGAGTCGGGATTCGAACCCACAATCGCAGGTTTCTAGCAAACCTAAAGATGCAACTAACTAGGCCCCCGTGAATTCTTTAACAAACAGTAAAGGCTTGGCATGTTTCCATTAGTTCTGTGGCTCTGGGTGAATGTCCACGGAAATAACCGACAGGACTACACTGGACGTACGGGTGTTAGACAAAGGACCTAGCAACTGTTACTAGGTGTTCCCTCGAACGTCCGCGTCGTCAGTATAAAGCAACAATCGGTCCGACGTAAAGTCATTTAGTGGCGTCACCTGCAACAGTAACATTACGTCACACGATTATCAATTTCCATGTTCCGAATAGACTCCTCAGATAGGCATGACCATCCTCTTCAGATTGATGTTGACCCCTTACTCCGCATTCAAGCATAGATATAACACAAACTTAAGTTAGTGATATCATATTACAAAAGGAACACAGTCAACACATTTTTATAAACCGCAAACAAAAGAAAGCTGCAAGAACCAGCAGGTTTTTCAGAGGTGTGCATGGACTGTCCTAACGTGGGGAAACTAAAAAATCATGTAGTGTACACATTCCACCAAAAAATACATTTTGATCTTTTATTTGTTATTTATTCTATGTACCGAATTAATGTTGTTGATTAAGCTACGTTTTGAACTGTGTTTGACAGGTGTAATAATGTTTTTGTACTTTACTCATATTTTGTCTTGACATTTTGATTGATGTCTTGTCATTTTAGTGTAACGAGAGGACAACCATAAGGTCTAATCATATGGATACATGTATATACAGAGCTTGGGTAAGTGAAGATGGACAGTGACTTCACGCCTGACTGAAGCTGTCCATGTGACAATCAAGTTTAATACAAGGCATAATATAAATACAACAATATGCTGGCATGCTTTTTCTCTTCAGCTGTTATTGGACTATTTTGCAGATTGTATTAGGCAGCTGTACAGAGACAGGTTTACTGTCTTGCGAATTTAAATTCTTGCATTCTGACGTGGCGTGACGTTTTTGTTTTGTTTGTTGGGGTTTTTTTTGTTTCTTGTGTGTGTGTTTTTAACTTTCCTGTGTCAAAATTCAGCGTGATAGAAAACGTTGGCATGTATTTAATTGAAGGGACAAAACTCGCGTTCCCTTATTAGTATTCGATAATTGGAGTTATCTCCCTTCAGTTTAATGGGTGAAAAACGGCTAAACGCTACGTATCTGGACAAAAACGCCTAATTATGGAATTCTGGATAGGTAAACCTGGCGTGGTCACAGGCAATGTAATGAGGAACATCCACAACCACGGGATTTGAATTGTTCACAACAAGAATATATTTTCCTTGGTAACTCTGTAAGTCTGATAATATTCCGTGTTTGTTGTGCAGTTGTTGGTGAACTGTAAACATTTCTCTCCAGTTGGATGCCGGTAGGTTGAACTACGTCATTCTTATATGTAAGACACACACTCGTTATTATTCGCCTTTGAAGAAATTATGCGCGCATGTATGAACTATTGAATTTATTGTTGACTCCCTAAAGCTGATTAAAACACTTTTCAGTATGTAACAGCATATGTCTTACCTGTCAGTTTCTTTACATGCAGGTTCTCCAGACTCTATTGATTAAAGGAGCTGAATATTTACAAACGGTTGGTCAAGTGTTTGAAAATGGCGGCCGTTATATATATATATTTGTATGATATCAAATATATTCAGAACAAATTAGAAACATGTTTGTCATTATGATCGTTTGAAATAAAATAGTTTTGAACTTTGTTGTTATGTATATGTTTGTCTCTAAACTGCTTACTTTATGTACACGAATTCTCATGGACGCGGTTTTGTCACGAACACATTTCGGCTCGAGCAGTTCGTATGAGAGCTGAAATCAATCAGCAACATTTAGTTTGGTTTAGGTCAACTTTACATACACATTTTGTTGTTTACATATAATTATTTTATTGGTGAGTTTGTATAAATTGTTGCGACAATCTTCTGAAAACAATAAATATTGTGTATTGTATTTATGTCGTATTAAGTATACGTTGAAACAATACTATAAATGTATGATAAGTTGGAAACAGACAATTGTTTGTTACATACGACTTTTATTTGTTCCGGTAAATGTAATCCGTTTTTACTTTAAATTAAAAAATAAGTTCCATGTTAGCCCATGTAATAAAGATGACACGAACTATTTTTCTAGTGCAGAATGCGGTAAATAGGTTTGTCAAAACACTGGGTTTCAGTCGGACACTCTAGCTATATCCTTTTGGCTGTGATATCAACCTCACGAGTCTCTGACGTTAAAACAATTAAAAGGGGGATAACTATGACTTGCGTCATATAGTTAAGCCTTTCAGTAAGCTCATATGACATTTAAAATATTGTGAAGTTGTTTCCTTCGTAACATTTGAACATAAGCCGATTTTTTATAGCGTATTTGAGCGAGGAAGGAGTATTTTCCTTTCTTTGGGTTTGGGGTTTATTCTTTAGAGGTTTGAATTCTTTTTTTTTTCTACATTTTGTATTCAGGTTTTGTTGTTGGGGGGTTTGGGGAAGTGTGATCAACTTTCCTGTAGTTTTAAATCATAATCAGTGATGACTTATCATCAGCAACAGTATTTTCGGACGAGTCCATTTTGTGAGTGAATTTGTACGGAAAAAGACGAGACGGTTGAGTGTTCGGGTATACAAGACAAACGACCTAGCAACAGTTTCTAGGTGTCTCCTCGAACGTCCGCGTCACCAGCATAAAGGCAGCTGCATTCAGGCGTAAAGTCATTGTTTCTCGTCATCTGCACGATACACAACGACGTCATAATCTTCAAACGTCACCCGATTGTCCTGGATAGCAATCTCCAGCCATGTTCATAGCAGAGTCTTCAGACTGGCAAAGCCTGATCGACTTATGGGACCATCTCCTTGAGAGCAGTCTGGATCCCGAACTCGCCATCAAGGCATACAAGGTATGTTGTAGTAAATTCAGGACGAAAACATACTATAAATGTATGTTAATAAATCAAGAAATGTTAAATTCCTTAGAGTTGTTGATGTAAGTGTCGAGTAATGCTAATATTTTTACATTTCACTTTCAGGAGTCCATGCTCCAGCCTGTCCATGACGATGTTGAAGTCTTGGATGATGATGAACACTTCCATGACTACGACTCTAGACCACCATCTCCATGGGCGCCAATCAATGTGGCTCAGAAAGGGGACATCCTTCCCCCTGTCACTCCAACCTGGACCGGCGGCAGCGGCAGCCCCGTCTCCACCGCCTCCTCCACATCAGTCTACAGCGATATCTCGCTTGACATCCAAGTGGCCAGAATATGCCCTAAACCAAAGAAGGTTTCAAGAATCGGCAGATTCTTCAGAGGTGTGCGCGGACTGTTCCAACGCTCGAAGCGCAGTGAACGTGAAGGATGGAACAAACTATAGACTTTTTTGTGAAACTCAAAAATCATGGACACTTTACACCAAATTTTTATTGTGATATAACGAAAAAAATGTGTTATTATGGATGGTTTCATAACCTTCACGATGATTTACAGTTGTTACAGTTATAAAACTTTTAACTGTTTTTCGTGTTTTGTTGTCATTATATTTAGATTAGTCTTTACAAATACAATGAACGGCAACCAATTTTAAATGGCTTTAAAACCACGCGAATAACTCACGATCAACAGAATTCCATGACAACTGTATTCATTTATAATTATTAGGTGATTTGAGATGTTAAAGTGACCTAATCCACAGCATATGTGGGTCATCCATTACTTTGATCGAGGAATGTACGAAACGGTCTTAGTCCTAAATATACCCATGTAGATCCGGGTTGAAAATATTGGTCTTCAGTAATCCATCCTTGTCGTAATTAAGCGTCTAACGGGATCAGGTGGTCAGGATCGCTGACTTGGTTGACACATGCGTACCCCAATTGCGTAGATCGATGCTCATGCTGTTGATCACTGGATTATATGGTCCAGACTTGATTATTTCCAGACCGCTGCCATATAGCTGGAATATTGCTGAGTGCAGCATTAAACAACAAACGAACCAATCTTGGCCCCAAAAGTATCGTACATCTATCGCAAGAAAATCGTGGACAATTGAAGACCATTTTCGAAACTATCAGAGCCTTAAGACTGAGACAGCTCCATACCGGTCGTAATTTTAGTTAATAATCATTCACGATGGGGCCATAAAATATTTCCATTTTGGTAACATGTGCGATTAAGTTACCTTCGAAAAACAGTAATTTACAAATTCACATCAGGAATGTTTATCGCAATCTCACGATCTATGTGACTGTAGAGTAGATTGCCCAAAAGTCTACTTTCTATCCGGATACATTCATATTGGAAACTAGTGTGAAACAACATACCTTTTCGATAATTTCGGACGGATAAATAGAGTACAAGTTGGCAGTTTAAAATAACGTCCGTGACCTTTTCGTAAGTCAGGGGCAGCTAACCATAGTTCATACATAGTTGGGAGTGGCTTCCCTTTGTAATGAGTACATGCCCTTTACCGACAAACACTTTGCTTAGAAATATAACACAGTTGTCTAAAAGAGTAGAATTCCGCTGTTCTTGTGATTAATTTTGCATGAACTCCTTTTTTCTTTTTTCCTTTCTATTCAAAATAGAAGATGAAGGGGAAAACCATACGCGTTTCTCATGTAAGTTCTTTTTGTTTGTCTATGAAAAAATAAACATCGCGTGGGACAACCGGTTTTAACAATATAATTCTAAATACAGATATCATTGATCATTTGAGAAGGAAATACACTTGACAAAATACTTGAAGCGTACATTTCATCTTTATCCAAACAACAGTAGTTGCTATTTTGTTACGACTTTTGTTTAAATTGATATATTATATCAACTGTTAGGTAATAACTTATAACTAAATACTGTTCTTCCTAAGTTCTTCTTTAAATCGCCGTTGAAAAGTAAGATATTTTGAAAATTGTTCAAAATTCACCTTTGATTAAAGTCAATTGATTGAAATTTTCGAATCAATATGAAATATGTATATTCTTTTACCTCATTAGGCTTTACATTTTACTTTCAAAGAATAATACGAATAAAAATATTGATCTTACTTTAACTTAAAGTTCTTTAAGCATACATTTACCCGTTATATTTGTTAAAATGATATTGTGAAGTACATGACCTTAAGCAATGCTGACAGACCTATGTTGCTCCTCGACCAAATTTGGATAGAAAACCCGATTTATAGACTCAACTTAAAGAAGTTTTTTAAATTGATAGATGAATACTGTCTTTTCACGTTACCTGGTGGTGTGTAGCATGAAGGGAAGTCCACTTTCATTTTGTTTTAATTATTTAGATGCAGTTTGGTATCATTTTTGTGTAGGTTGATTGTCAAAAACTGACTCATTGTGCATCAGATTTGAATGTGTATCTTAAATATCGAATGTCTGCTGTCGGATCAATGTTTTCAATTACAATAATATTCCACAAAGCGATCGTAGCGCTTTGGCAAGTAAAGTGTATATCTAAGTGTATGGAATTATTATTATCAGCTAAGTGCTATAGTTGTTTTGTGGAACGGACCTGTGGTGAGGATATACTGCCCACCGGTGGTCCCGATCATAAACACATGCAAAGGCAAAGCAATTGTTCTCCTTAAGAAAACATGAGTAGATGCGGTACAGGACACCACATGTAACTGCATCCGGCATTATTTTTTGTCACTGGTGTGTCAAGTCTAGAAATGTCCCCCTCATGTCAACTTTAACACTTTTATATTAACATGCTTTATTAACACGCTTTATTAACACGCTTTATTAATGCATTGAATGTTGCAACATTGATCAAACAACATTTGCGAAAGACACACTTTGAAATCCTCGTGGAAATAGTATGCGCGACTGCACCTCAAAAGCTGGGGAATTATAGACACGGAAAGATGGAACTAGTGGAATATTTCCAGCTTAAACGGGAATTTTAAGCCATTCATTTTGTTGTATATTTTTGTGAGAGTTTTGTCACCCTGAATCTTTATGCTTAAAATCTTAAATGAAGCAGACACACTGGTCTCCTTTATTTCAATTTCAGGTGGGTTTAACAGTGGGGAAGGAATCGGCTTTTTGATAGTGAACGATAACAGATACCGGAATCCAAAGTTAAACTTCTTGGCCAAATTGCCCTGTTTTAACTTCTCAAATGTAAGGTGATATCTACAATTATCTGTTGGCATATGACTCATCTCTTTGTACCTGTCTGCCCCTGCATACCTGTATTTATATTAACAATTCTGGGTGATTCGGCATAAGTCATTTCAGAAGTTTTGTGAACAACGCGCTCCTTATCTCTAATTATCTGCGTGCACGCACGCACGCACGCACGCACGCACGCACACACACACACACACACACACACACACACACACAAATGCCCGCTGCAGTGTTTAATGATTCCGGCGGTACACCGGTAGCATGTCGAAGGTTAGCAGAGTAAGTCCACTTTACAACTAGATTGATTGGCATTTCCCCCGAAATTCTACTTAATATAGCTGTAGAAAGCAGGTCTTGCATTAAAATGTTTGTTTAGTTAGTAGTATCTTTTTATCACATCGGCGCATAAATTTCCACTGTCGTCGAGTAACCGAAAAATACACACCCTAACCTGCTTTACAGCCGCACACCGTCATCGTTAATATATATATATATATATATATATACTCATGCCAATAATGGTTGTCACCCCCTCCCCACCCCAACCCCCACACCTCACGCCCCCACCCCTCCAAATAAAAAATTGAAGGGGGTGACAACCATTATTGGCATGAGTATATATTTTATGTGCGCTTGGTTCAGTTAAGAAATGATGTTTTATTCAAAATGGATATGGTTTTACCTGCTCGGCGAACTTTCATACGAACAATTATTCGTGTTGAGAAATCTGCCTTGGAATAATGAATAACAGATATATTAAATGTGGAATAGAAATCTTGTTCGTTTCACGTTTCTATACTTTCTGATATTGATAACATTTACATCACGTATACATGATACAGTATTTATCATTGAAGAAAAGGTATTTTTGCGATGCCCACGTGAACAGGGTACAAATCACGAAAATGATTATCTGTAAAAGACAGTTATATACTTTGCACAATGTATGCACAATGTCAAAAACTATTGCTATTTTAAGGTTTATGGAGAAGATGCATGACAAAGGATGTATTACAAAAGAAATAACTTTGGAGATAATTTTGCAGAAGGCGTCAGAGGATGTATAGGTGATGGGGTAGTCTAGTGGTTAAAGCGTTTTCACGTCACGCCTAAGACCCGGTTCGATTCCACACATTGACACAATAAGACAGTTTTTGGTGTCCCCCGCTGTCATATTGCTGGAATATTGCTAGAAGTGACGTAAAACCACATTTTGAAAGTGGGTCACGGCGTACAGTTAAGGTGGGTAATATTCCTGAAGATATCTTACCCTGAGTCCTCCGTGGTCTGATGTGAGGATCAAGCGTCCAGATCAAGATCCATTGGTTGTGGAACTGTACCACTCAAAGTTATTGAGGATTACGTTTTGGTGATCGAGAAAACAATTATCCACCTTAAAAATTGAAATATCCTGGTACACAATGATTGGGTAATCCCAATATACCCTCAGTTTCATGATGGACGGACAGAGGCATGCAGTCATTGGCACGAGGTGTTGAAAACCTCAGTCACTCTGCTTGGATGTATCGTGACAGAATAGCTGTACATCTTTATAAGAGAGTACACGATTTGCTACTGACGATTGCTACAACTGAATACACTGATGTCCCCTCAGCGTCAAAGTCGTCGTTTGACGATCGAAGATGTAGACATATGCACAGGCACGATTGAAACCGTGTGAATACAAAGTCGTCTTTGGTGTCAGCTAAACTGTCGTTAACCGGGCATAGAATGGATACCAGGCGTGGATCAGCTCCGGGGTGACATACAGGTGGTCGACGACATTCCACCACATAGCGGGAAGACTGCAGCAAGACGTCATAACATTGGTGACAACCACCACGCTCAGAAATAAACTGCGGAACGCCATCCTATTGCCCCTACATAACAGACAGGCACGCGTGGATTCGACTGACGATCATGTCAGCTGGGCAGACCAGGACAGAGCTCCACTAATTTTCACTGATGAATCGAGATACAGTCCTGACTTCACTTATCATCGTGTCCGAATGTGGCGAAAACAAGGGAGAAGATTTTGTGGTTCCGGTGAGTGAGTGAGTGAGGTTTTACGTCACTTTTAGCAATAGTCCAGCAATATCACGGCGGAGGACACCAGAAATAGGCTTCACACATTGTGCCAATGTGGGGAATCAAACGACATCCATGAAGGAGACGCAATCATGATTTGTTCTGGGATCAGAAGCGCTGACAGGGACGATATCTCTTACTGAAGAGTGGAACACACTTTCCGTGGATCACCAACACGCTACCGAGAGTTGGTCTTTTTTAACAAGAAGTTTGTTTTCGTGGTTCTTTAACCTTTCAGTCAGATAATGTCAGTTTGTGGAGTGATCGGACTGACCGTTTTGGCATTG